TGGAGAGACTGACCAAGGTCCCAAACCAGTGCAGGTACCAGTTCCCATATGGTTGGTGACAGGACAAGTCAATGAAACTAGCCTGACTTCCATAGCCCAGGACAACAAGAACATGGCATTTACTTTTTTTACTTTGTATTGAGGATTGAGTCTAAGCCATACCTCACCCCATCCTCTCCACCCCATCCCTCTACATGCCTCCTGTCCTCTCCATTCCTGTCACTTTGTACCTCCAGCCCCATTATATCTCCAGCCGTCTATACTGCCAGATCCCTATACATCCAGCTCGTTCCACCTACGTCCTCTCCACCCTCAGCCCTCCTTTACCCTCCTTTTTACATTTGGAGAGAGGTTTCACTAAATTGCTAACATTGGTCTTGAATTCACTCTGTACCCCCAAACTGGTCTTGAACTTGTGATGTTCCTGCCTTGGTCCCCCAAATGACTGGGATGACAGACCTGACTGTGGCATTTCTTCTCACTAGCAGAGCACTCCTGGGATTTCAGTCCTCCCACGCCTGAGTCTGTGCATTTGCACCCAGCCCAAGAGCCACTTACTGGTGCCATGAACCTCCTCCCCAGTGAAGCGGATGTTGAAGGCATACGTGGGGTCACCACCACTGGCCAGCTTGACACAGAGCTGAGAGGATGGCACGGAGGCCAGCTGCCGGGCAGCCTGGCAGAAGTAGGAGTTTTCTGAGGCTCTGATTTCCCCTGGAAGTGGAAGGAGCAGATCATAAGCTCCAGTGCCCTGCCTGTTCACCAGTAGACTCAAGCCTGGTCGGACCAGGCTGGCTTTTCTTCCGTCTGCACGTAGACCTTTCGCCTGTGCAGTTCACCTAGAGGCTCTCAGAGGCTTTGCCCCCAAAATTGGTATATGGCTCCTCCCTTGAATACTTCATGTCTGTTCTGGGCTACACCACACCTGTCCTGAACTACAGAACCAGGGCCTGTTCCCAGGTAGAATGGCTTCTGTACCCTCCTATAGCCAGGGAGGAAAGGCCCTGGAGCAGGGAGTGCTAAGCACCTCTGCTTGCCCCTCCTTGGACCACCCCTCACCTACCAGGAGCCTAATACACAGACCCAGGCCGCCCGAAGAGCACCACCACTCTCCAGGCCCTTCCTGGGGGTTCAAGGGCCAGCTGTCCGCCCTACCTCCTACAATTTCCAGTGGGTCTAAGGTGATCTCAGGTGCTGCATGGTCAGCTGTCCTCTGCACAGTGGCATTTAGCACCCGATTCATCACAGTCACCTTTGTGTCGTAGAAGATCAGTCCTGAAGAGAGAAATGTGGGAGGGGTGGGATATAGTTGCTTCTCGTTCCCAATCACCCCTGCAACCTGGGGAAGGCCATGTTCACCCCTTAACCCTTTGGAATGTCTTCTAGTCAGGTCCCTGGGTATCACAGAAACATAGACAAGTGGGAGATAAAAACACACCATGTAAAGTGCCATCTGTTTTATGTGTGTGGTACAGGAAACACACATGTGCCTATGGGGAGGGCAGAGGTCAACATCAGGTACCTCTATCACTGCTTGTCTTATTGTGTGTGTGTGTGTGTGTGTGTGTGTGTGCGCGCTCACGCATGCATGCACAAGCATGCACACGCACACGCACATGTTCTTGTGTGGGTGTACATACATGCAGAAAGGCCAGAGGAGGCTGTTGGTGTTTTCCTGTCACCATCTACCTTATTCCTTTGAGACAGTCCTTCACTGAACCTGGAGGTCACTGATTTAGCAAAGCTGCCTGGTCAGCGAGCTCCCTGAGTCCACCAGTCTCTGTCCCACCCCGCCCACACGATGTGCTGTGCATAAACACACAGCTGGGAAGACAGCCTTGCACTAACTAGTTCCTGAGTGCGCCCTGGGCAGATGCACCAACCTCATTTCTGAATGCTTTGAACTTTTTGTTTTTTTGTTTTACGGGTTCAGGCTACTTTTGATTAGCTTCTTTTAGGGAACCTGCTGCTTGACAGAGGCCTGCCTGCCAGCCAGCAGTGAGAGAGGGGTGGGCCTTCCTGCTTGCTGGCTCTGAGGGTGGCCCAGCACTGACCTTTTGCCTCCTTCAGCAGGGCAGCAATGCTGTGTGTGTACATGGGTGTCTGACGCAGCTCCACTAGGGGCAAGAAGAAGGTCTCCAGTGTGGTGTTGAGAGACTGGAGCAGTGCGAAGCGAAGGCGCAAGCTCTCGATCGGCACATCTACAGAGAGAAGGTGGGGTGGTCAGGATGAATGCCAGCCAAGCCAGACAGTGTCTGTACCTAGCAAGGATGAATGGAGTGGGACGGGGCCTCCCTTCCGTGGGCTTTAGCCCTGGGAGCCCAGAAAAACTGTGAGTGGGGGGCTCCCCAGGAACATAAGCCAGTATCAAACAGGTACAGGGGGTGAGGCCCTGGGAATACAAGCCTACCCCATCCTTCCCTTGGGCCACGCCACGACTGCATATGGCCTCAGTGTTTTTTTGTGGAGACAGAACCCAGGCCTTATACATACCAGGCAATCACTCTGCTTCTGAGTTACACCCTTGGCCCTACATGGTGTTTTGTTGTTTTTTCTTTTTAAATTTTATTTATTTATTTTACATCCTGACAGTTTCTTATTCTCCTCCTTCTCCTCCCATTCCTTCTTCCCACTTCTGTCTCCCCCAATCCACTCCTCCTCTGTTTTTGTTTAGAAAGGGACAGGCCTCCCATGGGTATAAAAAAAGCATGGCATATCAAGTTGCTGTAAGATTAAGCACCTCCCTTTATATTCAGGCTGGGCAAGGCAACCCAGGAGTAGGGTCCCAAGAGCCAGCCCCTACAAGGCTTTTAAACTTTAAAATAATTACAATGTATAAGAAGTGGCAAAAGTTGGCCGGGTGTTAGTGGCGCACACCTTTAATCCCAGCACCCGGGAGGCAAAGTCAGGTGGATCTCTGTGAGTTTGAGGCCAGCCTGGTCTACAGAGCAAGTGCTAGGATAGGCTCTAAAGCTACACAGAGAAACCCTGAAACACTGTGTTGAAAAACAAAACAAAAACAAACAAACAAAGAAACAAACAAAAAGTGGCAAAAGCAGGCCAGAGTCTAGTATGCTCTTCACCCAGCTGCATTCAACAGTGACAAAACCATGCCACTGGCACACTGCCTTTTTGCTAGTTCCCCCACACAGCTGTGTCCTTTCCCCTGTGAGAGACTCACATCATGGACAACTTGCCCATCTTTGTCTCCTGCATCCAGAAGAACAAGGGTCCTGACCTTGCTGCCAGGTGAGGCAGTGGCCCTGTGGTGCCTGTGCGCAGCCTTGCAGGACTGGTGACTCACTAGAGCTTTCTTGCTGTCCATGGACTGCCCTCCCTGATGGTCAGCAGAGCCCTAACCCTCTTACAGTAGCCTGACCTTCGTGGGCGTGGTGGCAGGAATCTCTGTCCACTCTGAGCTCATTATCCCACCTTGGCTTTCTTTTAATGAGCATCAAACAAAGATCAGAGACTAATTTGGCCAGAGTAGCAGCCCCGTCAGCCCCTTCAGTGGATGCACATGGGAGGCCTAAGTATTTCTACAGCATGGGGGAGCACCCCTAGAGGCCACATACTTGAGAGACAGGCCATCCTGGGGTCAGTGGCATCGGCTGGGTCAAGATACACCTCGTGAGGGTGAAGCCGCGCTGGTGTGATAGCAAGATGGCGGCACAGCCTGTTGATGTACTGCACAAGAGCCACATCCATCTCTAGGGTCCACTTCCTGGAGGCCTTCTGTGCATGTCGGACGTCGATGCAGGCACACCTGGGGCAGAACAGGAGAGGCACCAGGTAAGGCACTGTTTAGAGCCACACTTAACCCCAGTTTTTCAGGGATTTTTGGGGCAGATCAGATTGCTCCTCAAGAGAGAAAGCTCTTTCAAAGTACAAGTGCTCAGGGGTATGGGCATGGAGGAGTCTTGTGGGGAGTCTGGAAGCCCACATGCCATGCACAAGTGCTTTCCTCTTATTAGGTTGAGGTGTGTGGTCCTGGGGAGAAATGGGGAACACTCAGTGATCGGGGGTAAAAGCACACCCATTTCTGAGCCCAGGTTTATTTTTCCGTAATATGAGTTCAGAATGGCATTGGTGTCAGCATGTCACAAGAATTCATGCCTGTAAGGCATATGGCATGGTGCCTATGTCATCCGTGTACTAGTCATCTGCTGCTGGTGCCAACATGGTTCCCCTCAGCTAGGTGACCCCATTCCAGCATTTACCTGCACAGACGTTAGGAAGATAGACCTAAGTGTGCTGGAAAGGGCTTACTGTAAGGCTGTTTTGTTGCAGTAACACTGGGAGCAACCTACATGGCCATGCCAGAAACTGCTGCCTGCCTAATTTGTGCTGTTCCTAGCAACGGAACTCTGGGCAATCACAGGGATGACTGTGTGGAACCCCATAACACCAACTGTGTGACAAACTGGAAAACTCACACTGCTGACAGTGACTTCAACAGGGCTGAAGACACCAACCTCAAAACCACATGGGGTGAGATAGCGCAGAAGCATTATAAGCTGCTACCCTACGCAGAGCCACAGGGTGTCTTCTGGTCAAGGCAATAATCACCAGAACAGCTATGTGGTTAGTGTGCATATCCCTCTCTCACAAACCCATAGCTGTCACCTGGGAAAGGCAGGGCTGCCTAGCATCCAGGGCTCATGTGCTAGGCTGGCCATAGCATCTCGGGAGGGGGCAGGAGGGGACACTGTTCTCTTTACACTAGAGACTAACTCAGCCCCATACTACAGGTCTCAGATACCCAAGTCCCTCTCACTGCAGAGTTCTTGCCCAGCCCCCACTTGGTGGGCTGATCTGTCCTTAGACCAGTCAGTGATAAGCAGGGAGGACAGTCCAGGGAGGACTATCATGCACAAGGAACATTCACTACAGATTCCACTGATGGTCCCACTTGTCCCCTCCCACCTAGACTATAGCTCTTAGTCCAAAGAGTCCCTCTAACCTAATTAATGTCTACAATAATAAGCAGATTCTCAAATCAGGGTAGAATGCAAACACAGTCCCCAAGGAGCACAAATGATGGGGTTGGGTTTCCCACACTTGGCGAGATTACAGGGGTCAGCATGTTCAGAGTGCAATGGACAAGCCACACCCTAGGAAAAGCACTCTGTGAGCACAGGATACTCTTCCCTGTAAGTCTGAAGTCTGACTTCTCAGGACATTAGTACTGGGCAGCCCCTCTTTTGAGGTTCAGCATGTTCAACTGTGGACAAGGCTGAGGGACTTGAGTGTGGTTTAGTGAGGTGACTTCCTTGGTTCTGCAGACTCCCTGCTTGCCTGGGATTCACCTGTGGACAGGAGCGAGCCCTGCTTTGCAGGGTCCATGGGACCTGTCCAAGACCTGCCTTGCTGCCTTCATGGGAAGGGGAGCATGGGGACCCAAGGAAATCTGAGGAAGACTTTAGAATAAGCAGTGTCCTCGTCACAGACAAAACTGTAGTGTAATAACACTTGGAGATATAATTATGGTTAATTATAGTATTAAAGCTAAAAGAGCCAGGCAGTAGTGGCACAGGCCTTTAATCCCAGCACTAAAGGCAGAGGAAGGAGGATCTCTGTGAGTTCGAGCCCAGCCTGTTCTACAAAGCTAGTTCCAGGACAGCCAGGACTGTTACACAGAGAAACCCTGTCTCCAAAATAAATTAAAAAACAAAAACAAACAAACAAACCAAAAACCAAAACAAACAAACAAACAAAAACCCTAAAGAACCCCAGAAAAAGCTGAAAAAAATCATGCAAGTGGGCCCCAATCCAACAGGCCTGATGTCTTTTTTTTTTTTTTAAAGACTTATTTATTGTGTATATATATAGTGTTCTGCCTGCATGTATCCCTGTAGTCCAGAAGAGGGCACCAGATCTCATTACAGATGGTTGTGAGCCACCATGTGGTTGCTGGGAATTGAACTCAGAACCTCTGGAAGAGCAGTCAGTGCTCTTAACCACTGAGTCATCTCTCCTGCTCCCCAGGCCTGATGTGTTTTTAAGAAAAGAGTGAAGCCAGGCATAGTGGTGCACACCTTTATTCCCAGCACTTAGGAGGCAGAGGCAGATGGAACTCTATGCTTTCAAGGCCAGCCTGGTCTACATAGGGAGCTCTAGGACAGCCAGGGCAACATAGTGAGACTATCTCAAAAAGAAAGGGAGGGGAGAGGGAGGCAGGGAGAAGCAAGCAAACAAGCAGACAGGCAGAGATTAGGTCACGCAAGCACAGAAAGAGGCTGAGTGAGATGAAATGAGCAGGGTACCATGTGCTGGTCACTGGGAGGCCCCATGTAACCCCCAGAACTGTATGGAGAAGTGTCTGCTGTTTAAGCCATGCATGTAATGGCACCAAAAGTCAAGATTTGAAGGAAAAGAACAGTTTGTTTTCAAATGGGCAAAAAAAAAAAAAAAAAAATCATGTGACAATCATGTAAACTCAGGGAGCAGCTTCATGGGCCAAAGCATCACAGACAGACAGAGCAGACCCTCAGCAGGACAACAGCTGAGACATCTGCCTGCCAAAACCACTTCTATCCTGGACTCAACCTAGAGGAAGGCCAGTTTCTCACCTCTCAAAATGAAGATCATAACCACAGGATAAGATTGCCCTCCAGACACTGCGGATATCTTGCTTGGCTCTATCGATGACAAATTTGTGAAATCCTTCTAGGGTCAGGTACTTTTCCTCAGGAACTGATGGCACAGCACGCGCATGCAGTCAGAAGTGGGAACAAGAGTGTCACAGTCAGGGTGGGAAGCCTGCACACTGTGGCCCTTCACTGTCATTCACTGTGGACTCTTGTCCATGGCTTCCTCTGCCTAGCTCCCCTTCCCGTGCTCCCAGTGTTAATTCTGAGGTCCTCAGCCCTGTCACAGTGTGACACAGTCAGTTTCTGAATACCCAGCCTCCCAGCCAGGCTCTGCTATGGCTTCCCATCTCCCTTATCTCACCAAGTCTCAGAAGCACAAGGGTGACAAAGCAGTTAATACACAGGGAACAGCTTTCTCTGTCTGTGCTTAAGCTATCAGGAAGCCTCTGTCTACCTCCCTCATTGGTTCAGGCAAATGCCATCTAGAAACCCCAAGCAAATTTCCACACCTTCACTATCCATTCTTCTTCTTTTTAACCTGCCTTAAGATGACGGCCACAAAGCTGGCAATCAGGGATACTTCCCACTGTCTGCACAAACACTGTCCCATCTCAACTGTGACTCAAAGGAGCAAGGGCATAAAGAGCTGGGCTATCTGGGTGGGTGGACCCATCCAGGCAGGCCTTGGCCCAGAGGCTGGTCCTGGAGTGGGCTGCTGTCCCCAGGATGGAAGCAGGTTCACCAGCCATGAATGTACCTTCTTGCTTTTTGGTGGGTGACTTTTCTGGATCCTTTTCATCTGGTTTGCTCTTCTCGGGTGACTTTGCCTTCACGGTTGGCTTCTTCTCACTTAACGCAGTCCTGCTACAGACCAAAGCACTGCAGTTAGGATGTGCATGTCCACACCACCTCCCAACAGGAAACACGGAACCTCACACACCCCAACTATGGCACAGGGGTCACTAGGGCTGAGTGTAAGGCTTTGTTCTGAGCATACTACAGAGACAAAGCAATGCTTTCAGATGTGAGAACCCATGAAACTTTTCTGACATTTTCTATATATTCAGAATGGCATGGCTTAGTAAAGCAGCTAGTACCAAGATTAGCTACCTACAATTAAGTTAAGTAACACTGAGTAATTCACAAGCTCAGGTTCTCAACTGACTCACATTCTCAATGCTCCTGAGAGACCACAGGGCAGTAGTACCGAGCAGCACAGGGGCAGCCCTGAGTGCTGCTGGCACGGGAATTCTGCAGGACAGGGCCATTTACACATAGAAGGTTAATGAAAGGGTGTAGGATCTCTCTGTTCACTCATACAATTCTTCTAGACACACTTGCAGTACAAGGGCTATCAGAACAGTGAGGATTTGAGTTATAAACTACAGCCAGGCATGACAGGGAGTGCCAGGGTTCCTGAACTGATGCAGGGGGATCACTAGTCGGAGCATGGCTGGGGTTGCACAGTAAGTCCCTATTTTTTGTTTCTAGGGACAGGGTCTCACACAGTCCAAGATGGAACACACTATGTAGCCAAGTCTGACCTTGAATCCTTGATCCTGCCTCCACTCCTAAGTGTTCACCCTCTGCCCTCACTGGCCTTGAGACACTGCCTTAAGAAAATGTATGGGAAGCAGCGGCAGGTGGATCTCTGAATTTGAAGTCAGCCTGATCTACATAGTGAGTTCCAGGACAGCCAGAACTATGCCGGAAAAAAAACCTGTCCAAAAAAAATTACACTAAACATACATGAATACTCAAATATGGAATATTATATAGCAACCAACAGAAAGGAAATAGCGGGGAGAAAGACAGCTCAAGAGTTAGATGTTCAGCTGGGCATTGGTGGCACATGCCTTTAATCCCAGCACTCAGGAGGCAGAGGCAGGCGGATCTCTGTGAGTTCGAACCCAGCCTGGTCTCCAGAGCAAGTGCCAGGACAGGCTCCAAAGCTACACAGAGAAACCCTGTCTCGAAACAAAACAAAACAAAACAAAACAAACAAAAAAAAGACAGGGAGTTTATTTTTGTGTTGAGCCAAGACAAGTGTTAAAACAGAAACAGCAGGGTGCTTATACTGTGCACAGTACCCACATTTGCACAGAAGCATATTCACTAGTGTGCCACAGACAGTTCTGGAAGGCTTCTAACACAATGCATCAGTCTCGGGGAAGGGACTCTGAAGTGAGTTATCATCACTCATTCATTTACTAACGTAGTGCTGGCAACTGAACCCAGAGCCTCACACACACTAGGCAAATGCTCTACTACTAAGCCCTATTTATCTATTTGTTTATTTATTTATTCATTTATTTGAGACAGGGTTTCATTATGTAGCTTTCCCTGGCCTGGGCCTTGCTATGTATAACAGGCTGCCCTCGAACTCACAGAGATCCTATTGCCTCAGCCTACTGAGTGCCGAGATTAAACGTGTGTGCCACCATGCCTGGCTATCCCCAGTTCTCTTCTGGCCTTTTGTTTTGAGACAGGCAACTTAGGAATTCACTCTCTGGTCAGGTAGGCCTTGAGCTTGTGATCTTTTTGCCTTAGCCTCTTCTGAATTTCATGTCAGTTAAGAAAATGATACACTGGATCTGGAGAGATGGCTCAGAGGTTAAGAGCACTGGATGCTCTTCCAGAGGTCCTGAGTTCAATTCCCAGCAACCACATGGTGGCTCACAACCATCTATAATAAGATCTGGTGCCCTTTTCTGGCCTGCAGGGATACATGCAGAGCAGAACATTGTATACATATAAATAAATCTTTTTAAAAAGATGTTACAAAAAACAGAAAATGATACATACAGCCATGCAGTGTTGGCACACTCCTTTAATCCCAGCACTCGGGAGGCAGAGGCAGGCAGATCTCTGTGAGTCTGAGGTCAGCCTGGTCAACCAAAAACAAAAAAGCAAAAAAACAAAAAAACCCAACCAACCAAAAAAAAAAAAAAAAAAAAAAAAAAAAAAAAAGGAAAGAAAGAAAGAAAAAGAAAATGATACATACATATAAATCATAGGGCCTGGGGTCCTGCACATGCTGAATGCACACTTTGCTGCTGAGCTATGTCCCTCATCAGTCTTTCCCTGCATGCATTATAAAAGCTTTCTGTGTATGGGTCAAGTATTATTTATTGCAATGTTTTCTCAGTGTACACTGTCTGCCTGACAGCCCACAAGGACCAGGATTTACTGCACTTGCAGGTGAGGTGAACCGTTAAGTTGCAATGGATGAGGCTGAGGACTGAAGGGCCCTCAGCAGCAGAGCAGAAGACAACTGGCATGCCTGGCTATCCCAGGGGTGCCCCAGTTTCTCATGGAAGGCCACACTACAGCCACCCTCTTCCCGAGCTTCTTGGGTGTGCACCTGAGACTGCTGAGCACGGCTTTGTCCTTGGCAGGCGGCTTGGTGACAGGCCGCTTGGTGCTCACCACCTTCACGGGGTGCTGCTCCTTCCCGGCTTTGCTGTACTTGCTCTTATCCAACTTGGGCTTAGGCACGCCATATTTCCTCAGGATCTGTGGAACACAGACGTGGAGATGGGGATTCTCAGGCCAGCCCAGATGAGGA